GGAGGTATAGACTCATGGTTTAACTGAGATGTTTTGGGAGTAAAACTGAAGTAAAGGGAGGGGAAGAGGAAGTGCGGCAGCCACATGATTGCTGTCTTCTCCATAAAGCCCAGGCTACCTTGGAGAAATGCAAAAGCGGTTTGAGCTGCACAGCTACTCCTCACGCCTCAGGAATCCTCTTGCGCCATCTTGTCACCCTGTAGGGAATGTCTCCACTTTGCCTTTTGTCTGGGAGTCTCTCACCCACTCAGGAGTGAATCATGGAAATTTGAGTGCCCTGGGATTCCCCCCTCCCCCGTCACAAAGTTCCCAGCCCCGGGAGCGCTATACCCCCCAGCCTCAGGCTAATTCTCCAGTGACTCAGGCCTCAGAACTTCCTCCACTTCCTTCCTTTGCTGGAGAAGTGAGGTTGGGGTTTCTCTCTTCTTTGTGACAGCTCCCAGTCATGGCAGCTTCAATCATCCTCAGAGAAATGTCTCCCTTCCCCCAGCCATCATAACATAAGACAGGAAGGAGTTATTTGGTAGCTTGCTTAGTTATTGCTCAGCCAAACCAAGCGCATTTTAATTTCCCTTCATTCCTTAGTAGGCAATTTCTCAAAGCTTCTGCATAATGAAAGGCCCATCAGAAAAAAGAGACTCTTGAGGCCCCGATTAATTTCTCACTAGCACCCTACTAATGTTAGGTTACCTGGAAAAAAAAAAAGAAAAAAAAGAAAAAGAAATACACAGTGCAAAACAGTCTAGGGCTGTGTCTTTTTTTTTTTTTTTTTAATTCACTTTTTGGTGAGGAGGAGGTGTCAGAGTGAGGCAAGAACCCAGTAAAGATTTAAGTGGATCAAGACAATTAGGGAGACTGGCAAACCCTGTTCTCCTGTCCTTCCCCCATATTAGTTATTGATAGCTATTTCCCATCGCCAGAATTGTACATCCTCATGGTCATGTTCACGAACTGTAACATACTTTCCATCAGCAAAGATCTTAATCGGAAAGCAGAATGGACGGTAGTTGTGACCCCTGAATTAGAGATTGGAGCTAAAAGGGCCTGCTGCTGTCACGTGGGTGTGGCATGGGAGAAGAAAAGGAGAATCTGTGGTCAAAAATGAAAGAGCAGTGTGGAAAGGGAACAGCAGGCCTGTTTTTCCGGGCAGAAGAAGAGCAAAGGGTTAGCAGAGCCCTGTGTGTAGCTTTAATTATTATTCCTCCAGACAGCCGCTGTTTTCTAGAGTCAACCTTTGTGCTTCCTGTACCTTTCTAAGTTTCCATCCAGCCCCTGACCACCCCGCGCCAAGCACAAGGGGTAGGTGAGACTCCTGCTTCACTCACGGTGGTAAGAGCAGAAACGTGTCTCTGGTATCCCACACAGAGAGGCCAGTGGTTGTTCCACCAGCTCTGGTGGCCAGGCTGGGAAGCAGAAGCCCAACAAGGAACGTTGGTGTTAACAGAGCCCCCAACAACCCGTGACACACGTGGGACTGTTGGTACTGAAAGGCTTTGTGGGAAGCAGGTGATCGCCGCTGCATCCTGTTATTCTTTGCTTCCTGGTTTCACTGCTCAGTGGTGACACGGGGTGTGCCACCCGTAGCATTTTAGAGTGCTGTGGGGGAGGCGTCTATTATTGTTCGAGTAAATATGCTGCTAAGAAAGAAAGTTGTAGCAGACAATCTTTCTAATGGCCTAAATGCCCAGAAAGGTGTTTAGTACCTTTGTATAAAAGCAAGATACACTGTGGGGTTCGGAATGAGTCTTTCCACAAACTATGCTGCAGTTAATGGATGGGTAGAAGTTTCAAGAGTATAGGATCATCTGCTGTGTACATCCATTCTACTCTACTATTTGGTAGATTCCCAGATGTCCACTCATTTGGTACCATGAATGGTTTTCACTAAAGACCTCAAGTGTTGCCTCCGCCCAGACTGAGGGTTTTTCTACTGGGATAAGGACTGGGATCACTACCATAGCAACTGTGATGACCCAGCACAGAAATTTAAGAAACTCATTCATTCTGTTTCCAAATGTGTTGGGAGAGGGCCATTAAAAAATAACGAACACCCCTCTAAGATGACAGTGGATGATATTGATACAGCTTGACAAATTTGGGGCAGTGAAAAGATGAAGTTATATGTATTATGCAATAGCTCCAGCTAAATAGCCTCTATTTTTTGGCTTCACTGCAGCCAACGGCAGGGAGAATTGTGTGCTTTGCACAATGAAAACACTTGCTAATCTAAGACATTGTGGTCCTTTCTATGGTGAAAAGACATGGAACAATCCTAAAAACAAGCTAAGATGAAAGAGTCTTGGCTTGATTCTTCCACCCACCCCTCCAGCTGCAAGGGGAATGAAGATCCAGAGAGGCTGTGGCTTAGAGCAGCAGTGGCTGGACTCTCACCGGCCCCGGATGTAGTGGACTTGCCAAGGTGGTGGTGCTGTAGATGGGGTCTTCCTGTAGAAATTTTGAGCACAGGTAAAAGAAAGTCATACTGGACTGGAGAGGATCCCAGAGCAGCCTAAGGAGAAAGTGCTGCTGAACCCCAACTGTTGTCCGGGTATGGGAGGATCTCACCACATGTTCTTTAACTCATTGAGATGTGCTCACTTGGTGGATCATGTTCCGTTCTTACACTCTCGACACTGCTCGCCTTTAGGAGGAAGATACTTGCAAATTATAAGCAAAAGGAATATGAGAATCATTTAAAGAGCCCGTGGGTACTTGTGACTCAACACAAGTACCCATTATGTGAGCTGTGTTTTCCAGATACCAGCCTATTCCTTTGCCCAGGAGGGGAGATGTGGGAACAATGTGTGAGTCTTGGGGGTATCAAGAGAATGTGATAAGGAGAGTTTCTCCAACTTTGTCCTGGCCACTCCAATCTCCCCACTCATGGGGTAAGATTAGACAAAATGACAGCTTCTAGGGGGACCAAAGTGATTTCATACATGTTCCCTCACGAATTAGATAACAGATATCTTGTTCTTCGCATTCAACCTGGGACAGCCTGGTGATTAAGAAACTGGATTGTGTTGGCAGCAGCCTACGGGCTTCATTGATGAATATTAATAACAATGAACACAGCCCAAGCAAGCCTAGTGCTATTACCTATTACGGGCAGTTCCTGTGCCAGGTGTTCACCCTATGTAGCCCAGCTTTTCTCGCACACATCCCGGTTCCATTTGCATCGTGGCCTCCACCTTATAAATGAGGAAACAGAGGCAGATCAAAAGCTATAGGATCCTAACTTAACCTCGGCAAACACCTCTTCTCACTGCACATTAGAGACAGGCAGAAAATTGTGGAGGTGTGCCAGAGCCTGAGGAAGGCAACAAAGGAGTTTGAGTGTGTGGAGACATTATTAATGCAGGCATGAAAATGCTAATCTCTCTCTCTCTCTCTCTCTCTCTCTCTCTCTCTCTCTCTCTCTCTCTCTCTCTCGGCTATAACATCAACTTCATCCTTTTTGCCATCCACATTTTTTAAAATATGGCCTGGGTTGGAGGAGAGAGCCCAGAGAGGGAAGGGGCTGATGGAGAGGGTCAGTGGAGGATGGAATCCAGTGTTTGCCTCCTGGTCCTCGTCCGCAGAGGGCAAGGCACCCTGGTGCATCATCGATCCTGCGGGATTTTGAGCACCTAATGAGGAAAGTGAGCGAGGAGATGAAGGACACTTGAAGTCTCAGATGAGGATAGCATCATTGCTGTCTAATAAATAGCTGCCGTGGCATGAAAGGGACTCAAGCACGCGCGAAGTGCCAATTACATTAGGCGGAGGGAGAAAGAAGTGGGCAGTTGTCAGCTCTACATGGACATTTCCTCTTGGGGAGAAGGGAGCCTCCACCCTGTTTTCTACTCCCTGCCTAGGCTGTGTGGAGCCTCCAGCCCTGTCCTTTCCATGCCACCCTGAACCTGGCCTACGTGTAACTGTCCTGGGCATGACAAAGCACTCCTACAGATGGCACGAACCAGAATCACCTCTCCTCTGTGCAGCCCTCACTGCCTTCACGTTCTAGGTTTTCTGCATCAGTAGGCTCTCTTTTCCTCCTCAGATGAGATCATGGCTGAAAGCTTTTGTCTAACCATGCACTTTCTTAATGTAGAGTAATTCTCAATCCTCTCATCCCATGATTTATGCGTCTTCCTGTTTTCTGTGTTGAATCCCGAAGGCCTGGAATTTGTGTAAATGTCACGCACAAGCAGAAGGCGCATCCGGTGGTATCTCAAGCTGCCTACTTCTGGAGCCCCAGCGCTGTCATATTGAGCTGTGGGAAATAGAGTTGTGCCCCCGACTGATAGCAGTGTTCGTACATGAGGCTGCTGGGGCCGAGGGCTCAGGTGTGGCGATCCTAGTCTGAAATGCTCAATCAAGGGGCGACCAGGTCGTTAAACTGTAATTAGGTGTTATAATTATTGAATACCAAAGAGTATTGTAATAATAGAAGCTGTATCTCTTCTACCTTATATCTCACCTGGGATCAAATTAGTAGCTGGTTCTACATCTGGGCACTGTGTAACAGCTACGATTCCACAAGGCCACCACTTCTGTTAAAATTGCTGGGTGGGCAGTTTGGTGGAACTGTGGACACTTCCCAGTGGAAAATGGAAATTTATAAGTTGTTGCATAGAGACCTGAAAATTACAAAGGCTTTTTAAAAACCGAAGTTTTATTCTTGACCTTTCAAAAACTAACAAAACGGAATATTAACAGTTGTCATAAAATTTTATTTGGAAATAGGCAATGTTAGAAAAGTGAGTATAAATACCAGAAGTGGGGAAAGAAACCTCTAAAATTCTGTTTACACTTAGATGTACGTGCAGAGATGGATGGCAATTAGACATATTAGAAACTAGGTTGGCAAGGTGTTTGCAGGAATTTTTAATGGAATTGGGATGATTTTTATGGCGATGCTTTTGTGTTAGCACAGAACCCACCCATGTGGGAGAGCTGAATTGTCTTATTGAATCTGAAAGTAACCTTTCGTCCCTTTTACATTTTTCTCTTTGCAGAACTCTCTTCACTAACGCATCACTAGAAAAGCCAAGATGTTGGTATTACTGGCTGGCATTTTCGTGGTCCACATCGCCACTGTTATCATGCTCTTTGTTTCCACCATTTCCAATGTGAGTCACGTTGTCTTGTGCATTCATTCACTGGGACATTGCTTGAATCCATAAAGCTAGAAAAAGATGATTAGGCCACCGTGCCTGCCCTGTTGTGGACTTCCAGCTTTGCTGTGGAAAAAAATAGAAATACACTTAGACATTGAATAGTTATATAAGCAGAGGACAAGAGCAGGTGTTTATGGAAGGGATCCTACCAGGACTGTTAGCATCTGGGGCAGGAGGACAGAGGGAGACTTCCTCAGCCTCCGAGAGGCAGAATAGAGGGGCACTTCAGGTGAAAGGAGGGTGACACAGAACCTAGGGATGCCTTTCGGGAAGAAGTGTAGCAAAGGGGTGCACTTGGGAAGGACCTACGCTGTTCAGGGATAATGAGGCCCCTAATGATGGTGAAGCAGAGCTTTCCTTCCTTCTGGTAAGAAGGGGGTAGATGGCTGTGAGTGACGAAAGCCTTTGGTTGTCAGAGTGATGAGCTCAGGTTGTGGGCAAAGAGTAGCACGTACAGGCAGCGAACTGCAAGATTAACCCAGTGTCACAGAATTAATTCACACCAAGCGACCTCAAATTAAACACAGGTAGTGGTCCTTTCTCTCTCTGAAGCTGGGGCTACTCTGACCCCTAGTGGTTGTTTTAGCACCCAGTTTGTTTTTCTTGTGCTTCACAAGACCACTAGTCAAGACCACTAACCCGAGGTAATCCTTAGGTGGGTAACTGAAACTCCAGAACCTGTTTTGGGCCCTGCTTCTAGTAAAGGACAAATGTATTTTAAAGTTTGGAAAGAAGAGCTTTGCAAATATTAGTGGGTATGAGTACAAGCATAACTGTGATGAGACAGAACCTCAGCCCATGCCATCTCCTCCAGCTTTGGCAATTTATCCATTCTGTGTGCCAACCCTGGTGCCTCTCGGAATAGCAAGTCTGGCAATCTTGAGAGTGCTCTGAGGGATCAATGCCCATGTATTGTGTATCTGTGTTATCAGCCCCCGATACAGGGCTGGGCGTATAGTCTTTTTATTAAATGGAAAGCAGGTGACTGATTATATAACCCGAGTGCTGCTTTTCTAGTACGTGCATGTTTTGTGTGTATAGGCAAAATTCTTTGTTTATTTTCAATTCCAGGAGGGTAACTATTTTTCTGGGCTGGGTGAGAAGGGATATGCTGGTGCTATAGTGAGCCCAAGGACAGCTGTTTTGGTCCCTCTTCTGCTTTCATTTGTGCACACAACCAAGCTTTTGCTGCACTATTTTGTTGAAGTTCCTTTGGTTGTGGTGACAGTTTGACCCTTCTGTGTACATGAAATTGGCCAATTGAATACCAGATTCCATATTACTTCACTAGTAAGCCTCATGTTTCTTTGTTATCACTTAGACATTTTCCTAACTTTTCTTTTTCTTTTTTTTTATAAATGAAGCAAGCCTTGATAAAAATGTATGAGTTGTACCTATTTACATCCAATTTACTCATTTAGGGCTTTTAGTGTTTAGAATCCTAGACTTTTAAACTACTATGGTAGAATTACATCCACTTTTACATGTTTCCAGCCACGAGAAATGTGAAGTCCAAAGAAGCTATGTGACATTTTTCAGGGTTAAACATTCTCTCCTTCATTTTTGTAGACTCTTTATGATTTTAATTGGACCTTATTTCCAATAGATAGACCACTAACCATACTTACGGCTATGTGGTGTGTCTTAATTAAGATATGGCTTGGGTGCCAGTTGATTTGTGATTTTTCTTTTGAAAAAAGAGGATCAATTTGGAATCAACCTTCTCTTCCTTTCTGGTTTCAGGTCTGGGTGGTTTCTGATGCCCTCAACGCATCCGTAGGTCTTTGGAAAAACTGCAGCAGTGACTGCCTTGACCTGTCATATGGGCACGAAGGTCTGTATCGAGACATCCGTCCCCCAGTCCAGCGGAGGGTTGAGAAGCCGCAGCTCCATGGCCTCACTCTCCTGCTCTCTGTTAACAGATGCCCTTAAGAGTGTGCAGGCCTTCATGATCCTCTCCATCATCTTCTCTGTCATCTCCCTGGTGGTCTTCGTGTTCCAGCTCTTCACCATGGAGAAGGGAAACCGGTTCTTCCTCTCGGGGGCCACCATGCTGGTGTGCTGTGAGTATCTGGGAACAGGGGCAAGACGCTAGTTTGTGTGTGAGGAGATTTAAGCGGGCCTTTCTACCCTTCTCCTGGCTACTTGGGCAGATTGACGCTGTGAAACTGCCTTACGCCATTTTCTCCTCTGGCGATTTGTTCTTTTCTCAAGAACCTGAGAGGGCCTGGGGAGATGGCTCAGTAGGATAAGCGTTTACCTGGCAAGTGCAAGGACCTGAGTTTAATCCCCAGTTCCACACACACACACACACACACACACACACACACACACACACACACACACACACACAAAAACCACCTGAGATCACTGCTTGGATTAAGACTCTCACCTGCTTCATTGTGTAAAAACCTGTGCTCCTGCCATGTCCTATGTGGTTTGAGCACACCCTGTAGAAGACTTGCAGAAGACAGGAAAATGGGGATCCTCAAAAAGTGCACATGCTGATTGCGATGCTTGGTCTTCTCTTATGCTTCCCAGGACCCATGGTTGGGGTGGGGTCAGGAATGTTCCATCACATCTCTAAATAGCCTGCTTGGACACAGCGGTCCAGGCAGGAAAGCTGCTGGTGAACACAATATTCTGTGTTTTATTTCACATCTGTAGCCACACACGTCAGCGCAGATGTGAGAGCCCAACTATCTCAAATTTATCAGCATAACCATCAAGCCTGACCGGGGGCAAACAGACAGCACAGCTGTTTTAGGACAAACAACCAGAGTTCACTTTTCCATGGCCAGTGAGGGATGTTGGATCTTTTGAAAGTCATGCAAACTTTTCCTTGGTATTAATGTCGAAACAACAATCATAACGTGGCGACACCTTTGCTCCCTGCAGGGCTGTGCATTTTGATTGGAGCGTCCATCTACACTGATCGCTATGCCAATAACAATGAAACCTTTGACATGGACACCCACCATGGCTACTGCTTCATCCTGGCCTGGATCTGCTTCTGCTTCAGCTTCATCATTGGCATTCTCTATCTGGTCCTGAGGAAGAAATGAGGCTGAACCAGCATTGGGGGATACCTGGGGGGTGGGGAGGAAGAAGCAGTGGAATCTGGGAGGGAAGAGGAAGTCATTGTGTAGGAAAAACCAAGCAAAGGGAGGGGTCTGGGGAGGGGGAAGGAAGAGTGGGAGAGGCCCAAACCCAAACCATTCCTGGAGAGATTCTCTACTGTCAAGCTGTGGCCTTGGGAGAGTCATTAGCTTGTGCTGTGATGCTCCCTTGCTGTAGCCAGAGAACCTCTGTGTGGCTACCAGACTTGGCCTCTGCTGCCCTCAGTGGCATGCACGGCCAGAGTCCCTTAGCTCCCCGCTCGCTGGCTCCACTTCTGAGGGTGAATTCTGGGTCATGCACTGAGGTTTTACAAACTTACTGCACCAAGTACAGATGGCAAATAGTGGTACAAGGTCTGGCAAGAGCAGATCCTGTCTCTGGGTTGACTGCGCTAAGCCTGGAAGCCACCCTGCCTTCATACCCAAGGCAAAAACATTACAGTCTCAAATGAAGTGCCTATAGGAGGGCTTTGGCCAGAGAGCCACTATGCCTCTGTGGAATAGATATTTAATTCTGTGGAATTCAGTAGAATCTGTGACAAAAGGGGAAGCAGAGAGATACTTTACAAGGCCAAGTCCACTGGTGGGTTAGCTAATCCAAGACAGAGAACTTTTCCCCATGGAAGGAGTGGGGCAGAGCAGAACCCAGCCAAACCTCACAGCTGTTCCTCACAGGGACCTCTTCTCAGGGGCCCTGTTAGGCTCTAGCTTACAGCCAAGGCAGCTCTTCTGGAGTTTCTCTAGAGCCACTAATGATCAATTCAGTGGCAAAGTATCACACAACCTGTAGGATCAAGGCCCACTCTTACCATAGCACTATATTAGGGTTATGCTTTTTTTTGGGGATTTCCCTCAATGGCAGGCAACATTTCTTATAAGTAACAGGAAATGGATGGATAGGGCTCCTTGTGACATGATTCTGTTACTCTTCCTCTGGATTTTAACTATTCAGGAAGTTTTATCTAATTATCCAGTTTGGAGATTAGGGTTTCTAGGCTCAGTGGTCACTCACACTTTGACACTGGCTAAAGTGGTGACTTCTCAGAGGCCACATTCTCTTCCCAGGGGAGGAAATGACAATTTAGGAGCTAATACACTCACAAACCAAAACCAATCAACAGGTCCTTGGGTGAAAGGTGCTATATAATTGTGAAGTATTAAGCATACCATATTTCAGTCATGAATAAAACAGTGCTTGCTCCAGGAGGAGGGGAGATCCCATGAAATTAAAAAAAAAAACAGGTGACGGGCAGATCATTTCTTTAAAAAGTACCAAAAATGGTTGGGGTACCTGGTCAGACTGTATTTAAGCTGTTCGTGGCCACAGGAGCCTTTCTTTATAGGACTTAGAAGTATATGCTATTCCTGGTTCTGCAGGCAGCTCTCCACCCCAGAGCAGCTATTTTTTAAGCCATCTCAGATTCTGCCTATATGGTCCTTTGTGGGAGACATTGTCTTTATTGCCTGTAGAAGATCTGCCCGAGGAAGAATCTGAGACATCTTGCCTATTTCCTTTTCTCTAGTTTCCTCCTCTCCCATTTCTTCCATGCCTTTCTTTCTTGAGGAGTTGTTATGCCATAATTGCTGATATTTATATAAAGGGACTATTTACTAAGTATATTTCTTTATGCTTATTCTGGTTAAGGGAATGTTGAAGGCTGTATTATCTGGGCTGAGAGTAGAGAGATCAACCGGAGAAGAAGCCATGGAGTCGGGAAACTTTAAATTATGATTTGATTATTATGTGGCTATAGAAGGCTGTATTATGAGCAAAAAACATACCTACTTATCAGATATGTCCAAAGAGATGCTCTCATTTTGTTAAAAAGTTCAATTATGACTGGAGTGAACCATTTGTCTTTTACTTTATTTTTTCTGTGACATTTATGTGTCATGTAGTTTGCATTGCATTGGTGGGTTGTTCTAGTACTGTATTTGGCTTCTTCATTAATAGATTATTTCATATACTATAATTGTAAATATTTTGATACAAATGTTTATAACTCTAGGGATATAAAAACAGATTCTGATTCCCTTCACTGTGTGAATGTTTTCTTTTTAATAAATAAGGGGAAATATGGATAACAGTGACATTTACCCCTCATTAATTTGGCCATCAGTTTGATTTGGGGAACTTAACATTTATTTGAGATATTAAACTACTTTCTCATAATACCATAAGGATTTCTGCAATAACTCTTTCAGACAACTGAATGTTATTAATACGGTTTGGTCATATTTTAATTAACTCTCTTAGGTGGAAAATAAATTTCATTAGCTAATATATTACAGAGAGGTTATGGTGTTAAGTCAGAATGGCTTGTGACATTAAGAAATGATACTTATAAAGTTTCCTTGAAATAGCCATCTCCTCTAACATGTCTTCGAAATATAAAGTAATTCACAAAGGTATGCACTGCACACAATTGCTGAAGCTTATCACTGAATACACGAGGGCATCCCTGAATGAACCCTAAGAGGAAGGGCAGGCTTACTTGCTTCTGTGAGCCCTGAGGACTGAAGTCAGCAGGGGACAAGCAGAGTGGACACTGTACTTATCATCAATATGATAACAGAACTATCATGTGGCACAGGTCATTGCCTAACTCCTCTGGTCTTGAAAAATCTGCACAGAGAAATGAGCCCAAAACTTACTATGTGTCTCAGTTACCTTCTCATTGCTGGAACAAAATACCTGACATCCACCAGTTAAAGCAGGAGAGGAGAAGCTTATTTCGTCTCATTCTGTAGAGTCCATAGTTGACTGAGTCCAGGGCAAGGCAGCATGGTAGACAGGCACAGTAGAGGAGAGATCATGACATGCCAGGCAGGAAGCACAGATGGATTAAGGGAGGTGGGAGGGAGATACAGCCAGGCCGTGGCCACATGCCACAGTGACCATGCCCACAGCCACCCACCTCTTCTTATCTGGCTTCATCTCTGAACATCCCACCCAGCTGTAAACCCACCAGTGGACCAACCCAGTATCCCACTCATAAAGACTTACCTATATGTGCATAAGACTTTGTGGGGACACCTAGATACAAGCCATAAAACAATGGAACCTAAAAATGAGACTTCAACATGTTCTCAATCAATTGATCAGGTTGCATTGATTCTTTTTTTAAATTTATTTTTTTGCCATAATTTTATTGATAAACAAATAGCAATGAGACAGTTTTAAATCAAATTGGTAGGACAGTTTCAATAATTAACACACTACATACATTCTTCTTAGTGGTTAATTACTGTACAAGATTAGGACCTGACATCCTATTTACAAACACCATTAGAACAAATCATTCTATTCATTAAGAGAATGTAACTATATATCTATCCCAACCACTCTGAATACACAGATACAAAATGGACATTCATCTGTATACCCTTTTTTTGGTTAAGTTCCGTTATTTGAATATTATAGGTGTGTAAACTCAGCAAAACATTCCAAAAGAGTCCAGCAGACCACAATAGTATTGGGTCTTCTGCTTCACTGGCAAGGTCACAAATTGATGACCTGAGTCCCCCACAGCTCAATATAACAGCATGGCTTTATTTCTTATATCACATTTTTATACTTTTCGGCTGGGTGGTTAAGACCAAGGTAAGCAGGACCTATGCAACAAGAGTTGTAGCTTTTGGGTCTGATAAGTTCTGTGAAATCCCCTTAGGATTTATCCTGAGATCCTGTACCTCAGATTGCATTGATTCTTCATGCCTTCTCAGAGGTCCAAAGTGATTTCCTAAACTATTTCGGGGATACTATTACAGGAGGTCAGCCTTCTTCCCTTAGCTTTCACTGTACTCCCTATGAAACATACCTCTAGCCCTTCTCCAGAGAGAGATTTAATCAGGTCTCCAATAACTCCCAACCCTATCCAAGTCTTCCTCTCTAGCTCTTCCTTCCTTAACAACCTGGATGGTGAATGGAAGTATATTAAGATTCTCCAGAGAAACACAACCCATAGGAAGTAGATACGTATAGTAAGAAACTTATTCTACAGAATTGAGTCACATGGTTATGGAAGCAGACAAATCCCAGATCTGCAAGATGGGCCAGAAGGAAAGAGACTTGGGCTTTCAGTCCTGAAAACTGTCCACTGCAGCATACCTTCTTGCTTGGAAAGGTCAAACTTTATTCTGTTCAGGTCTTTGATTTTATGAGGCCTACTCATGTTTTAGAAGGAAATATTACTTTACTCAAGGTCCACTGATTTAAATGTTTTCTTAACAAAATATCTATCTATCTATCTATCTATCTATCTATCTATCTATCTATCTATCTATCTTTTATCTATCTATCTGGTACAAGGTCTTGCTACACAGCCTCTCCAGTGCTGGAATTACAGGAGTGTGCCACCATGCCTAGTTTTGGTGGCTAGTACAGCACTTCCAGGATTCTGGGGCCAGCACAGCATGTGGTACCAGGAATCGAACCTGGGTCCCTGTGCTTGCCAGGCAGATGCTTAGATATCTGCCTGAGATATCTTCCCAGTCCCCACTGATTTAACTGTTGACCTTATACAGAAATACCTCCACAGAAATATTCACATTAATGTTTGGCTATATACCTGGGTACTGTGGCCCAGCCAAGTTGACACATGACATTAACCATCATTTGGGGAACATTTTTCATGAAAGATAAAGCACTGGCTTACTATACATTTTTGGAAATGAGCTCAAACAGCAAAAATCTTTCAGTTGACATGTGGGTCTTTTAGTTAAGTGATATAGCGAGACACAAGAGTTATCTTGCAAGAAGAGCTTGGATATACTGTGAAAGGACAAAATATTTTCAGAGTCTCTTTGATAGAGGACCTTAATAAACACCTGTTGGATGACATACCATAGGTAAAGTCAGATAGAATTGCAGTGTTTAAGTAAACATGGGGAAAGAGTCTGGATGAGGAACATAGAGAAGGTACTGGACTCTCCTTTGCTACTCAAGGATGGGCTCACGGATATATGATAGCTTATTTAGTCATTAAGTTTGTAAACTTGAGGTGCCACATGGTGGACAAGTATATGTCTCTTCTCTGGGTTTAGCCACTGTAGTCCCTTTGCAGAACTCTAGGAGCTTTCAGACACAAAAGCGAGTAAGTCAGCTGTGGTTTACAGTGCAGTTATGGCCAAGTCCAAGAACCACACCACACACAACCAGTCCCAAAAATGGCACAGAAATGGCATCAGGAAATCTTGGTCACAAAGATATGAATCTCTGAAGGGGGTAGATCCCAAGTTCCCTAGGAACCTGCATTTTGCCAAGAAGCACAACAAGAAGGGCTTCAAGAAGATGCAAGCAAACAATGTCAAGGCCATGAGTGCACGCACTGAGGCTATCAAGGCTCTTGTCAAGCCCAAGGAGGTCAAGCCCAAGATCATCCCAAGGGGAGTAAACTGCAGGCTCGCTAAACTTGCCTACATTGTCCACCCCAAACTTGGGAAGCATATCCGTGCCCTCATTGCCAAGGGTCACAGCTCTTGCTGGCCAAAGGCCCAGGCTCCAGCTTCTGCTCCAGCCCAGGCTCCCAAAGGTGCTCAGGCCCCCTTGAAGGCTCCACAGTAAAAGCCTCTTATCTGCTGATGTAAAAACAAAAGGACTGGTGTGACCTCTGAGGTGCCATCTGTGAAGGGCTGGTGTCCTCCTGTGCTTTTTGTACAAATAACCTGAGGCAGGAAAAAAAAAAAAAAGAAAGAAAAGCAAGTAAACAAACAAATAAACAAACCAACCACAAACCAAAAAATCCTCAGAAATGCCTTGAAAGAAGACCTGTAAACTAACAGGAAGTTGAGCAGGACTCCATACTTGAACAAAACAAAAAGCTCTCGCCTATGTTTGCTAAGGAACAACTGAAATATATAAAAATTCAGATAAAATGCCCTAGCAAGGGTTGGCCAAATAGCTCAGTGGATTAAAGTGCCTCCAAGCAGGTGCAGGGGCCAGGGCTTCGATCCCCTGGCCTGCCAAGCCAGCCCGTCCCCGGGACGTGCTGAGGGGACAGTTGAGACTGGGAGTGGTGGTGCATGCCTGTAATCCCAGCTTTTGGGAGGCTGTAAACAGGAGGATCACTATGAGTCAGATCTAGTAGTGAGACCCTGAACATGCTGTAGACCCTTCCCTAAAATACAGAAATTTTTTTTAATGCCCTAGCTGAAAATGTTGGGTTACACTTAAAAATGGGCTCAATTCTGGGGCATCAGGGGGAACAGGAAAGAGAGGCAGGATGAAAGGAAACACATTTCCTGGAAATTTTGGTGTGAATTTTTCAAGTGGTAACTCGTTTTAAAGATTTTTTTTTCCACTCTAAAGGAAAATCCACTTCCTAGAGCACACAGCAGGTAGGGAAGTAGAGCTCAAGAAGAGGAGATTTCCCACCTGATCTTATTGTGCAGGAGCCATGTGGGCCAATTTCTGGGGCAGCTAGTGACCCCTGCAACATGTATCCATGACCGACTGGGAGCTACAGCCTGTCGCTAGATGTTGGTGGCATAGAAGAAGAACCAGGCATGTTTCTTGACTCCCTTCATCTTGAAGTATACTTTGAGACTAAGTCTCATGCCTGCCTAGAGTGAATGGAAGGAGGACTTATGGGGACATGGAGAAGCTGTATCATCACTACCGGGGGCAGGATAAGAAGGATTTTCAGGTCCTCAGCCTTTCCTCATGACCCTCTTCCACCCTCTGAGTGAGTTCATATGAATGTGCTTGCTCACATGTCCTTGCCCCAAATCCTACTCCTTTGTCCCAGGTCTTCATTCCAAATGACCTGTCCCAGGTCCATTCAAAGAGCTGCAGCTAAGAATCATTGCAGCAACCTCCCTACCTACATCTACAACCTCTCTAACCTGTGCTTTATGCTGTTGTCAGGGTGGTAAAAGCAGATACTTCCACCACTGCCAGAGCCATGGTTGCTGGATGGGTACCCCATGGTGTCATTGTGGGCTTTTGTGTGGTAGGTCTGACTCAGTCCTGATATGCAAAAGTCTACAAAGTGAGCCCTGATTCGAGAATGAGTATCTACATATGGAAAATCTGGGC